CTATGATTTAATAATAATAAGAAGGAGCATTGTGAAAGGGCTAGCTTGTCTTCAAGTGCCTTCTTGGATGGTTTTAGGGCATTGAGAAACAAACATCCACTACAAAGTCTTTGTGAACCACCCACAGAGGGATGAGAACTCCAGTTGGGGGGCCATTGGTCTAAGACATTCTAGTGATTGGCACAGACTTACCTGAGAACATGTATCCAAAGCAAGGGACTGAGTTTCATATTTCTTCACCTTACAGCCACTCCTGGAAAGAGAAAGGACACAACTAACTAATTTGGAATTGTACTGACAAGTTTCAAGGTCTGAGATGGAGCAGAGCAGTGTGTGCAGACAGAAGCCAAAGCATACAGCATCACAGCAATCGTACATCTACACATGAGGGAGGCAGAGACACCTTTTATGCCTCTGAATTGTCTCTCAAGAGATGGGGTAAGCAAAGAACTAAAGCTGGGTTCATTCTCTGAAAAGACCACCTGGCTTGCTTCTGTGGGTTTTCAAACACCAGTATGCTGACATCTAAGGTTTTTACTTACACACCTTCAAGGGCCTTTCACAAACAGCACAGCCTTAGCAGCTGGAGACACTCAGTTCCTCTGATCCTCACTCAAGAGGTATTGACGTTCATCAGAAAAATCATCACACTGGACCAGATTCTTTAAAAATTCTTTATTGCACTAAAAGTCACACAAGTCTAGACCTGTGTGCTAACAGAAAAGAACTGTGGCCAACAGAGAGCGGAAAAATACAAAATCTGAGTGAACCGTTACCATTCCTGTCAGACGGGAGGGGAACCACCAGTGCTGTGGGGAAGCCTGAAACCCGGGAGAGCTCGGACCACCTGTTATTTTTAGACTAGCACAGAATTTGTGATCACAAGACTGATTCAGATTCTGTTCTGTCTAAATAAACCTGAAATTTCCAGTAAAAATGCCACTGTGAAAAAAAAAAAGGGCAAACACACAAGTCACCAGAATGTGCACATGATCACGAGTTCCCAGTCGGCTTTCCCTACTGCCCTTACCGAACGCCACCCTCCACCACCACGTGCCAACAGACTCAGTACAATTTATTACCTACTCCAAATCACCAGCCTTGTCCAATCAAGAAAGTCAACTGGCTTCCAATATTAAATAGCAGAACAGAAACCACTGCCGTGTGATGATGTTGGGGCCAAGCCAGCTCTTGTTACTGTCAAAGCACGACGTGACACCTGCCAAGCCAGGGAGCACAAGCTCTCACACCTAAGGTGGGAAGGTCGAGCCCCACTCTTCAGGTGCAGACAATTGCAAGGCTAAGCTGACTCATGAAGTGGCATGTGAAATGCAAAACCCATCAGGAGATCAAACTCAGAAAACAGAAGCCGACATGCTATGGAGAGATGGCTGGGGAAGGATGCGAGAGGAAATTGCCAACAGTCCCAGGGACAAACAGCAGCAGCAGAAGTACTTACAACAGAAAACAGAGAAATTTCACTTGCTCAGTAGTCCTGATGCATCAACAAAATTAGAGAGAGACAGGAAAGAGACAGACAGATGGAGAAAAAAACCATGTAAAGACTGGATTATTTACCTCTAGTCTGATAGGTGCAAAAGCTGCACAGTTCTTTCTATGAAGTGAAATAATAAACTAAAAATGTCACATTCATGAATGCTGTCCCTAGTGAACGACCTGGACCATAAGGCAGTAGGAGAGTGGTACAAACACTCAGAAATGCCACTAATTCAAATTTTGTACATGAAAAGTATACTTCCAAATATTTGTGACTGTATAAAAAGTGTATCACTGCTGTGCATGCTTACTCTACGATGCACATATAAAGATGTTGCAAATGTCTGGATCTCTCTGTAATAGGTATAGATCACTAAAACGATTTCACACAATTTGTCTTATTCAGTGTGCAAAATCCCGAGCCTATTATCATATCTCTATTTTACAGAAGAACCTGAGAAGCCAATCACATGCATCTTCTTTGAACACAAAGCTCCCCACTCTCCTCTCTCTTCTACCACCACACATGGGCTCATTCTTTTCTAGCAACAAAGGAATTTGCTGATCAAAATCCCAGCATTGGTGGCGCCCGTACCTCAGTGGGTAGGGGGCCGGCCGTATACACCAAGGCTGG